AGAAAAGAAATAAAAAGAAACCTTGGGATGCATATGCTGGCAATCCAACTAACTAAGCATATTACTTTTTTTTTTTTTTTCCTTTGGCGGAACCAGGGATTGAACTCAGGTGCTTGCGCTTGCCAGGGAAGCACTTATTCCACTGAGCCATCTCCCCAGCCCCTGAGCATATTACCTATAATTTATTGTCTCATATGTTTCACAAGATTTAAGTATTTGTAATACTTTACAATAGCAAAATTTAAACATGTTTTAAATCTCTCTCTCTCTACATATATGTGTGTGTGTGTGTGTGTGTGTGTGTGTGTGTATTGTCAATTGCTAATTCATTTCTTTATCTGCTATTGAGTTATGGTAATCCATCGTTTTTCCTACATCAACACATTTTTCCCTTCAAGGCAAGCATGTCACTAGTGCTGTGGTCTCCGCCTTGATTGTTACTCTACTGGGCAGGGAAGCACAGAGCATGGCAGTAGTCCACCGAAGGCTGGGCTTCCCATAATCAAAAGAAAGCCAAGGAAATACAGCTCAAGAAACGATGCTCCTGCTTGTAAAGAAAGCCGTCTTCTGGCAGAGGACAATCACACGTGCGACTACGGCCGTTATAGACATACTAAAGTGACCCTCAGCAGTCTAGCTGTGTGTGAAGAAGAGAGAGGAAATGTTCAAAAACTACTTACCATTGTTGGTTGAATGCTGATGTCGCACCCAAAGTTAGAGATTATCACCTAAGAATGGATAGCAGAGTGGTTTTTTCCCCCAGTGTATTTGCAAATGACTAAAATTCACAATCGGGCTGTAGCGAAGTGAAATGTCAGCCAGCTGTATCCTAATTTTAGTTCCTGGACGCAGCTGAGAATAGCAAGAGTCACGTGGGCTTTCTGTGCAGAGGATCAACTGACACCTGAGTGGCGTCTGAACTGCAGGGCGCTGTTCCGCAGACACTGCAGGCTGCCAGGCACGTGTCCAAGCTCCGCAAAACAATTCCCTTCGAAAGCTCTTCTACTGTACAGAATTTATGCAACTTAAGTACTTATAACTTAATGAATCCGTTTCAAACAGAGAAACTTGGAAATATACTTGCTTGGCATAACAAACCCCTACCTAGTAAATGATAGGTCTGTGCTTTGGCAGCACGGATGCTTCAGAAAACGAAAAGGAGGAACACGTGACTAAGCACAGGTAAGAGACACGCCCCAGACCTCTGCTACATTTAGGGTTCAGGTAGGCGGGGGAGGGGAGGCGCGCGCCGGGCCTGTGCACGCTCAGCACGC